AAGGAAAGTGAAATACAAAACTAATAAAACTAAATTTATTGTTAAGACTATTCAAAAATATTTAATAACATATGTTAGAAACAGAATTGGTTTCTTTGGTTGTTTGTTCTCTCTAGTTCCCCACACAGACTAAGCAAGTCTACTTCTCCTTATACAAGAGCCTGAATCGGGCAGTTCTCAACATGCACGTTGTGTCTTCTCTTCCCTCATAAAGATATGAAGCAGAGAAGTGTCGCAGGCAGGGAGTGCAGCTGGATGTGGAGAACCTGCGGAAGGAGCTCGATGGCATGACCATTATTACCACAGATCTAGAAATGGAAATTGAAGGCTTGAGAGAAGAGCACATCCTCAGGAGGAAAGATCATGAGGAGGTAGAAAAAGTTCCACTTGGTAAAATCCTATCACACAAATCTTTACTACCATGTAATTAACTAAGACCCACAATCTGTAAGGGGGATTGATGATTCAGGACCTAATCCTGTTTCTGAGGCAGCCAATGAGAGTCAAGTGAGGCAAAAAGTCTGTGTCTGCTTTACCAATTACGCTGGGGGTTTCAGAGAGAACAGATTGTTGGAGTCTCTCCCACCCATCTGTCACAGATAGCTAATAATAACTGACATATTGGACAGAAATGTTCTCAGAAAGATTTAGATATAAATACACAGAGTGCTGCCGGGTTTTAGTCATCACAGACTTTTTCCTCAGTTCTGAATATATAATTTCCCTTACTCACAGAAGTATGGAGGTGTTGAGGGTTGGAAGGGATCTCTTTAGGCCCCCTTGTCCACCCCCACTAAACTCAAGCAGCGTTACCCAGAACAGGCTGACCTGAGCAAAACAGATCTCAAATTCTTGAAGGATCAAAATTAAAAAGAATGGTTGGTGAAGTCAGGAAAAATTACTCATTCTTACAAAATCCTAAGCACAGCAATTAGATAATTCTCAAAAGCCACACTACTCTGAATTCTCCAGAGCTATACTCAGTGCCCTCTGTTATTCCCACATTTATAATTCCACTGCTTGAAACATGCTGGTTTCGCTTGATCTGGTGTTTGCAGCTATTACCTAACACCAGACTAAACGTCCTGCTCAGTGTCTGTGGCTTATTAAAGCTAAGAATGAAACACAGGGGTTGCACAGTGGTAGGTGCAGCTGCCTTTGGCTGACCCCCTTCCAGCCCAGGAGAGTTCTTGGACACAGGGGACCAGCAGAGCCATCCCTGTGTCCAGCTGATCCGCATTCCGTGATGTCATACCCCGAAAGGCTCCTTTGCCTGGGCGCTTTGAAAATGGTACCAGGCACAGAAGGCTGTGCTACACTGAAAGGAATGCTACCCTACCTGCCCAACTGGTCCTGTAATTATGTTGTTTACACAGTAATTATATGCTTTAATCCAATTATTCCTTTAACAATTACATAGAACTTTTACATTACTCTCCTGTAAACTTAGTTATAGTTCCATAAATATTAACATAAAGGGTAAGAAAGATGAAATTACTGTTAGATTTTCATCAAGGTTTTGGGTTTCAAATAGATAAATAAATAAAAAATGGCAGTGCTTCTTCACTGAGTCTATTTCTTCCAGAAACATTCTATGAAAAGATCTTCTTGCGTGTTTTTTATTGAATTCTGCCACAGAAGCACCTATGTCACTGGTTTAAGTTACATCAGAACATTACATCATGATGTATTACAAATACATCAGTATTATCAATATATAAATTTTTAAAATAATATTAGCTTAATGTATATAACAACTACCCCCCAAACCTCTCTGGGATTTGGTGTCTCTCTGAAAACTTTCTACTTCCATAAATGAGTTTGCATGTTCCCTCTGCTAACACATGAACAGGATATGGAAGCCAATCGCTCCTCACAAGACTTCAAAGTCAATGTAAAAGTAAATGCGGCCCCTCCTGCAGATTTAGGCAAGATTCTGGCAGAAATAAGAGAAGATTATGAGGCCATAATTGAAAAGAATCGTCAAAGCCTGGATAACTGGTACAAAGAACAGGTAACAGCTATTCCCTGCTCATTCCCAAGCCCCCCATGGCTGTAGCTGCCTGACCAGAGTCTGAGCTTTTCTCTTGCTTCTGCTCCACAGAGTGCAGCAATGTCCCTGGCAGCAACCCCTAATCCTGAGCAGATCCAGCGCAACGAGAACGAGATCAAGGAGTTAAGGAGAACTTTGCAGTCCCTGGACATCGAGCTGCAGGCACAGATTAGTAAGGTATCTCCTGCAGACATCTTGGGCTGCTCACACACTCTGAAGCTTTCATGGACCAATTCTCCATTTAAATCCACAGCCTAGCATAACTTTATTGCAGTTGTTAAAGTATGAAGGAAATTGGAATTCAGATCATGCTTGACTTTGCCAAAATATGCAAAATAGATTCAGAAACCATCAGCAGGAAGTGAAAAATTTATGTCTCTTCTTACGACAAAATATGAGGAGAAAAAGTGGAGAAGGAGGGATAGCTGACTCCAGGTCTAGAAAGAAAATGTGTCCAGACAATAAGCAGTAACACAAAGAATGCAAAGTTTATATTTACAAGCCCTGTTATCAGGCATGAAATACACAAACTGTGAAAAATTGGTGGGGAAATTTCACAAATATTACATAGCTTTTACATGGGTTAAAGCTCACATCCCCGAGACCTGGAGACTGGAGCAATTCTGGACAGTTCATGCAGAAGGGACAGGACAGAAAACAGTCTCAGGATCAGAGCTTTGAGCAGAACGGATATGGCAGGGATAAATGACTCGGGTTTGCTTCTCATGCACACACGGCACAGCTTTGTGGTTCTGCTGCCTTCACAAGAATAGTTATGCAAATGCATAAGTGTTTAAATTACCACAGCCTTAATTTTGCAATCTTCTAGCTAGAGACCAAATTTGCTGGTATTTCTGTGTTGTATCTACCACATAAATAATAATCATGGTCTTGGTATTATCTGCCCCGTCAGAAACACATGCTGGAAGACACCTTGGCTGACACTCGGAATTACTATGCTGCTGCGCTTCAAAATATGCAGCAGATCATCTCCAGATGTGAGGAAGAGCTGAGCCAGGCTCGTCATGACATGAAGCAGCAAAATAACCAATATAAGGTTCTTCTTGGGATCAAAACGCGCCTGGAAAAGGAAATTTCCACGTACCGCCTGCTGCTGGAAGGGAATGCTGACGGGTAAGGCAGAGCTGCCCTGACTGGAACAGATGAGAGTCCTCATATTTGGATTATTTATTTGTTTGTTTGTTTATGCTTAATCAAAGCTTGTGAGTCCCATACTACATCAAGGGTTGGTATTTTAATGTGACGGATCATAATAAAAAGATGGAGCCACTTAGAGACACTGGTATCCATGTAATTTGGATTACCTAAAGTAATATAACTTTTTATTAAAAAAAGAATCAAATTCTCCACTCCCACGGCATGGCCATCTCAGCATAGGAGAACGCTGGTCTCATTTTTATCCTCTCATCTGATTTGTATGAAGTCAGAAAAAGAAGATCATCAGCTTTAGAACCAGAACTCTCAGGCAGGCAGGACAGAGTGGTCCCAAGTGTGAGGGTATTTGTCAGAAACCAAACTGGGTTCAACAAGAACCCATTGGTTCATTCTCCCACCTGTCCCTGGGAGCAGTAGTGAATGTGCCCAGGGATGGCTTCCAGGGACAATAGCTATCAAAGGGAAAGCTCACATGGTATAAAAGCATCATTCTTTTTCCTTCTTTTTTTTTTTTAAATTTTATCTCATAGTGGGATAAGGTCTCCTTAGAAACAGTGAGAAGGGGATAAATAACTTCTTTAAATTACTGTAACATTATTTTCTCTCTCTTTCATTATCTTCACAGGACAGCAAGAAAATTTGAAACTAAAGGTAAAAGTTCCTTACTTGGTTCTTTGAAGTGACTCTTAATTACTGTCATTTCCAATCAAATGTGACTCAGGGCAATTTTAACCTCACTTGAGTGAAGTGTGGAAGGTGTGCATGGCAGGCTCACTGCAGAACCCACCGGGCTGTGCCTGCCCATGTCAGTCACACACGTGGCCACAGCTCAGGTTCCAGACTAAAGCTTTCCTGGGGTATGAGGAGGCAAGGAGACTCCACTGGGTGACTAAAACAGCATTAGGGCCCGAGAGCAAACCAAAAATCTGCATGTCTGGAAACTCATATTCTGGCATGGGCATGACCTGCAGACATCCAGGATAATCTGCTGATTTGCATTGGCTGGGCTGTCCCTGCGTTATTCATTTGCCCTGACCTAGAGCAGACCCAGGGTGACTTTCTGGCAGCACACTTCACACAGAGAATAATAAACATTGACTTGAAGGAAACCATGTAGAGAAAACTTTGTTGAGGAGGCAAATGACTGAAAATGAGGCTTTCCCTGCATCACCCTGTCTCAGCATTGCTCCTTGGATAATTAAACTTTCTTTTCTTTCAGAACACTCTGGGCTGAGCAACCGAAAACTGAAAGCGATTGTCCACGACAGCGTGAACGGGGAGGTGGTGTCCTCCACCATCAACGAGCTGCCCCCACAAGCCTGAAGGAAAGCTCTGCCAACCTCGGCTCTCCCAGCAGCAGCTCCCACGGCCCCTCTGGGAACAGCGTGCCGTGGGCTGGCTCCCCGTGTGTCAAACAGGGATCCTGTAGGGAACGCGCTTCTCAAATGATCTGCAGCCTAACACTGCCACACAGAGCTGGGTATAGCTGGCATTGGTAGTTTAAGGAGCTTTTAGTCACCAAAATGCTGAAGAAAAGCTGTTGAATTAAAGTGACTGGCTGAGCTAGCGACAGATGTATTGTGCACATCTCCCCAGGGCAGGAATATCCATCTGGGATTCAGTTATCTCTCTGCAAATTAGCTGTAATTTAAGGGGAATAATCTCTCAACTTTTTTCCTGGTCTTATGTCTCTCATCATATACCTCACTGCAGCAAATAAATTTTTATCCATCACTTGTTTTGGTCCTTGGAATATCTGATTTTGCTTTCCCTTACATATGCCCAGTCCACTGTGGCAGTGTCATTGACGTGGGTCAGGACAGCCAAAGCCTCATCATTTCAGAAGGGACAACACTGGAAGAACACAAAAAAGAAAAGAGGAGACACAAGTTACAGTGACATTTACATGAGCAAAACTATTCAACTTCCCTACATGCAACTTATCAATGTCACCATTTAAAACTGCATTATGAGTAGGAGTGTTGCAAACTCACTTTACTAAAAATAGCCCCCCAGAAAAGTTTCTTTATTCTTCAGTTTGAGAGAAATTTTCTAGCACTGTCTTTACTCACTTTCCCTCAGAGCCTGTAAGTACTTTTCCAGACACTCATTTTTTCTTGATGACCCAGGTAATTCAAAAAACCATCTCAGTTATTTGGTCTGAAATTAATGTTCACTGTCTCTGTCAAGGGTTCTGCAGTCAGGCCAGACTGGTGTTTACAGTGCATGTTAACATCAGGGAGAGCTGTCAGACTTAGACAAACTCAGGCTTTCTCCCTTTCTCATGCCCGAGTCAGCAGCAGACAGCAGCGAGACCCTGACAGCAATAGAGCTATGCAAAGATAAAATCTGGGCAAGGAGAAGAGAAAAACCATTAGGATGTTTAGATGAGGAAGGGTGTAAGGCAGAAGGAAGAAAGACCAAATGGAATATAATGAGTGTGTCAGGGATTTGCATTCCAAAGTCACCGTCTGCGTGTCCAGGGCAGTCTCGCATTCATGAGCGACATTGTCATCGTGTTCCGTCATCCCCACACACCACGGACTCTCACAAAAGGGCTCCTGTTACCTGCTTTGCTTTGAAACAGGGCTCACAAAGGAAAGGGGAAATCTCAAAGGAAATGCAGATTAAACTGAACAAAGTCCACTTCTGTCATACTGTGTTCTGCTACTGGCATGTTCCAACCAGTTCCTGATCCCCCCTTGCCCCCCGCAGCCCAACTCTCCACCCTTGTTGCACAAAGAGATCCCAAAAGCATTGGATGGATTACCTAATGGTTTCTTTAAACTGGGTAAAACTTGTAATACAGGATTAGTAACTCCTGGATAATTAAGAGTGTCCTTCCTTATGGCTTACCAGATCTAACAAGCCAGACCTGGTGTTTGCAGCATCTGGACAAAATGTGTCCAGGTCTTCTTTTCTGTGTTATTTAAAGATATGTTCATTTATCAGATTTACATAGCTGAGCCACATTGCTGTGACACAAATAATTATAAAAGCTTCTAAGTAGCCCCTTATTTCTACATCAAAGGAAAGTATGTGCTTTGTGCTGGGTTATTGTGCTGAACTACAAGAAAGAAGGAAAAGCAAATAATTGAAGTGCCTTATGGAACACGCCTGCCCTTATTTCACATTCCCGAGCAAGTCTCTGGCTTTACTCTGCCCTGGTGTCCCCTCACCATGCAGAGGTGACACCTGCTCCCCATGCCTTGTGTCACACTCAGCTGTGGTCTGAGAGGGGCTGGATAAGAGGCAGCAGAATTCCTGTTCTCCTCTGCTGAGAGGCAGCAGAATTCCCACTCCACTCCACCACTACAGCTCACAGCACCATGCTCACAATTAGTCCTTAAACTTAAAATAGGCGTTACACCATATTCTGTTTGTTTCTGGTAAAAAATGCTTATTTCTGGAGAATCTTTCACAGCTTCAGATTGCTCTGTACAACTGCAGATCTCCTTTGTGTTGAACAGCTCGTGACACTGTGTCACCAGCCATGTGTGCCCGGTACCTGGTGGTTACTCATTACCTCTGAATTTGTGCTCTGGTGGATAAGCTATGCATTCCTAAATGTATTTAGGGTGGGTCTGCACCCTAAATAATAAATAATGATGCTAATATTTACCACTTGCATGCACTGTTAACATCACATTCTCACACCACGCTGAGAGATGAAGTCAGGGAGATAATGAATGGGGGCAGTATTATCATTCCCATTTTATTGCCTGAGAAATTGGAAAAAGAGATGACATAAATCGCTCAGGGCTGCAAAGAAAGTCACTGAGAGCCACTAAATTAGAATCCGTCACTTCACAGCTTCTACTTAGCCCAGTTATTAGATAATACAACTTCCCAAAGAGCCATTTCCCACTCACAGCAATCCTGTCAGTGTCTGATGGCTCGGAAGAGAAAAAGCCCTTGATTCATTCCAAGTGTTTATGGCTGGTCAGGACCCTGCACATACTCTGATGATGTTCTTCAATGCACCTGTGCCAACAGCCCGACTGAAATGAGTCCTGTGCAGAACGCTGTGCTGGCAGCTCTGGCAGCTTTGTAGTATTTGGGAGACTTTAAGAGCACAGGTGGTGCTGTTTCTGATTTCAGGACTGTGATGATGTATGGCTTGAAAAATGACTTTGTTAATTCATTGTATTGAAACTGATTGAACTCTGCCAGCTCATATTTGTTCTCCTTCAGTATTCCATACACACAGAAGTGCCATTTTGACATGAAGAAAGTGATGGACCCAGGCACAAAGAAAGTGCAATTTGAAAAATATGAAGTATCACTAAAAACAACACTCACCAAGTGAATAAACTTTATTTCCCATAAACGGAAAAGGATAGCAAAGAAACATGAGCAGGAGAGAACAGCATTTCTCAGTCTAAGTGAATGATGCAACAATACTTCTGCAAACCAACAAGATACAGGAACTCAGCCTATAAAAGGAGGCTGAAACCATCAGCGTTCACAACCGGCTCCTCGCAGTTTCACCTGCCATTTAAGGTAGTCCTGCATGGAATAATCCTCAGCATGATTTCCAAGAGCCTTGACTGCACTCCAGCCTGGGCATGAGTCACAGCTCATTTCACTTGTAGAAATGTTAAAACTTATTAAGGTGTATTACAATAGGCAGCTTTGGTAAGTGAAGTGTTGATCCCCTGGAAGAAGTGTGCGATGAGGTAATGCAGTCATGGTTTGTGCTATTAATCACACATTCTTCTGGGGAGCTGGCCCCATACTGCTGGGGTTCAGCCTTATTTATCAACAGCCACATCTGTAGAACGAAAATTTTTGCTTTCTGACTTCCTGGTTAATGCAGATGCAAAATTAACAAAGTCATTTCAGAAACAGAAGAAAAGAAATCTCGCCTTTATAGCACTGCTAAGCCCACGGGTTCTATGGATTATTGAAGCAGAGAGAATAGGTAGAAGAGCCGGTAAAACATTTCACAATGTCCACACCCTGACCTATAAAGGTTTCTAAAGTTTTGCTAGGAGATGCCTGTTCCTGTGTATGAATCATTTAGAAAAAGGACGAATCTATAAACAGAGAAGCAAGGAAGGAATAATGCTGGAGAGGGCTGCACCCCCTGATCCCCCATTTCATGCATTATACAGCAAAAGCATCTTAATTATTGACTCTACCTGGATGTTTGGCTTGGTGAAATCCCAACTAAAGTTTTACCATGTGTTGTTTCCTCATCATTCCACCCTCTGTAAAATTTTTGATTCTTTTCAAGCTGTACTTTTATGATATCTTTAATTGTGTGACTATACTGAAATGACCTACTTGAGCCCCTGACCTAGGACTGGCACAAACCAATTGTCTGTAAAAATATTCCATGAAGCAGAAGTACCGGTGTCAGACAGTTTGGAGTGTCCCTATGGCAGGAGGTGAGAAATATGACCTAATGGTGAGGCAGGTGCAGGGCTGCTTCTTCTGGACATGTTAATTTGCTTTTTGAATGGCTGAATATGCATCAGAACCTTAAAGGCACAAAATCATCACACCAGCTGTGGTAAAGACACTTTCAATAACTATATAGACTTCGGGGGTAAATTTTTTTGGCTTTCCAATGTCCTAAGGACAAGTCCAAAGGAGTCAATGTGACGGGTTGTAATTAGGCTCTATAGAAAGCAACAAAAATGAGGAATATAATTTGGAAAAATGTGCTTCAATTAAGAGGCATAATTAGCTGGAGCAGGCAGGGAAATGGAGAAACAAACAGGCTGAAGTAGCTACTAAGTACAGTTTTTCCTTGGAACAGAAGTTAAAGGTGTGCTGCCTTTAGAGAAGTACCAGCTTTGGCTCAGCTCTGCACCCCTGAACCAATATATGAGAAAATAAAACACTGAGTGCATCAAACAAAAAACTGGGAGTGACTCTTGCCAGAACGATTTCAAAGCAGGAAATCTGTAACACTGTTGCAAGCAGACAGAAATTGTGATATTAAAGTTACTCTGTGCAGGAAAGAAAACACATTCTTATGTCTTATTAATGAGAACAATGACTAATTTTTGAAAGCCATTCCAGCACCCAGGCTCTGCTGCCAGATTAATCTCACAAGAGACAGTCTCAAGACATTCTGAGAATGTATCCTCTGCTATTGTACAAAACAAAAACCTTAAAAACACAACCAAATAAACCTTTTCTTTAATGTCTACAGCCTATTGCTGCCTAAAAATTGAGATACTCAAGCATCAGCCATATAAAAGGGTGTAATTCAAAAGGATAATGAACACTCCTTATTCTCAAAGACTAATTTAGAATTTAGAAAGATAGCCCATTCTTCTTGCCATTGCTTCCAAACCCACTCCATACAAAGCACTGAACTCCTTAATTATGGCTGATGGCTCTGAAGAGAAATATTCCTCTAAACGTTTGGCCACAAGAGCGACAAGAAACTAAATTTCCTGTGGGCCAGGAAAGCGTATAATATGAGATATTTTGTTATGTAATCCGTAAATTTTATTCTCTCGTTGAAGTTCCGCACGGATTGTCCCGCGGTGCTCAGCACGGGGAGGGCTGGGGCAGCTCCGTTCTGAAGGCCGGTGGTGGCCTCTAGTGACAACCTGGCAGATCCGCACGGAGCCCGGTGCCTGTCCCTGCTCCTGCCGCTCCTCGGGGGCTCCTGCGGCTGGGGAACAACTTCTAACCGGAAATTTCTGCTGCAGTATTTGTGCAATGAACCTTATTAACAGCTCCAGAATTGTTCCAGGGGGGTATGGAGACGGATTTTCGGCCTGTTTCCTTTATTTGGTTTTTTGGTATGTGCTTTCCTGACACAGATCTTGAGCCTGGGAGGGTATTTTGGGTTCCAAGCAGCCCGCAGATTGCTCCTGTACAAACTCTAG